ATGTACGATAATTAATAATTTTTATAGATCAACAAGAGATGTTATCGGAAATGAAAAAACGATATGGGAATATTCGAATTCCACAAAAATTCGTATTAGTGGTTAAAGACGATCAAGGTAATGAAAGGATGATCGATGACGACGATACTGATTTAGAAGCAGGTACGATTTTGACTTCATTCGTATAAATTCAGAATTATTCGTAAAAAAATATTACTATTAATAAAATTCTTTATTTAGAAAATCTAAAATTAAAGAAACAAATTGAAGAAGTACAAGTAGAGAATGCAAAGCTTCAACGTGAAAATAACTGATTATTCGACGAAAATCGTTTTTTGACTCGAATAAACGAGGCCTTTGCAGACGAGAATGACGATCTACACGAAAGCTTAAACAGGTATTCGAGAATCCGTCTGCCTAAAGCCATTCATAGGCAGACGGATCTCGAACAGCCGGCAAAACGTCAAAAAAGAATTAAGACAAAAAAGTCCGAGCGATACGAGGAAGATTCGGAGAAAGAACGGTCTGGTTCTAACAATAATGATGAGTACGACAAAAAAGAAGCTAGGGTATATTAATTTTATTTGTCTGATTCAGTTATTTAAAATTGCAGTATTGAGTAATTAAGTACCGGTTATCATTATTTGATTGTTATATTTAGGCTGAAATGAAGTCTATTTTGAAAACCATCGATGAAACTCGAGGACTAGATTACAATGAAACGTTCAATAGCGAGAAAAATCTCAAGATTCGTCATAAGCTAGTCCCTGAATTGCGTTCAGCCCTTGCTCCGTATTTTCCCGCTTCGAATAAGCAACTTACAAAATGGTTGGGTTGTCTCCACAAGTCTCGTCATTCTCATCAAAGATTAATGGATAGGGGAAAAGCCGATGAAAATAAACACCGGGTGCACTCAAACAATCGAGTAAAAGACGTTAGTAATGATTTATAATTATTATGCTGAATTTTATTCAAATTATATATTGAATTTTATTCAAATTATAACGTATTTTAGAAGAAAATCAGCCGAATTAAGGCGGCAAAGAGATTATATAGTTTTGACGATGAACGGATAACAAAATATGATAAGCGTAGATTACTAAAGATGTTATCCAATCGCTTATTTCATTCTCCAGAAATAAGCGAGACAGATGAAGAAGACCCAACAAAGTCCATAATAGCTATTTACGACTATTCGTAGAGATCTGATGAGGTTAGAACTTCTGAATCTTGATTTTTCAGACGAATCGCTGGATTTAATTTTTATATTTTATTGTTTCTTCAGCTTAAAAATTTGCTACGAAATGTACTCGATGTACACTCGTCAAATAAGTCGAAATTAATACGCGAACGTAGATACGACGACGAGGTACAAAATTAGACCGACCACATCCGTCGAATGCTCCCGAATGGTCTTATATCATACAACAACAAGATTTAATATTCGATACTGATATCGATCAGGGTTTAATCACTGAATATGATGAAGAAAAAGAAGAAGTTAGTAGAGGGACAACACCAGCAACTGGCAACACCACCGAAAATGATGAAGACCATAACAAGGAAGAAGAAGAAAAACCATCAAAATCAACAGTCGGTGACAATCATAATAATTCAGATTCTGATTTACATATGGACGACGCGCAATGAACGAATCTGAATTAATTTGGTAGAAAACTTTCTTTTTTTCGTCAAAAATCTATATATATATGTAATTAATATTCCAAATTATTAGTATTAGAATTTTCCATAATTCAAAATAAATTTGTCTTAATTCAGAAAAAAATTAATTACAATTCGAAATAAATTTACTGCAAATTTACCGCAATTCAGAATAAAATTTACTGCAAATATACCATAATTCAGAATAAAATTTACTGCAATTCAGACGCAATTCAGAATAAAATTAACCGCAATTCATTAAATTTTTACCGCAATTCAGAATAAATTAACCGCAATTCAGAATAAAATTTACCGCAATTCAGAATAGAAAATTTACTGCAATTCAGATTAAAATTTACTGCAATTCAGATTAAAATTTACTGCAATTCAGATTAAAATTTATCGCAATTTATCAAAATTTATCATAATTCAGAATAAATTCACTGCAATTCGGTAAATTTATGAATATATTTTTTTAAACAATTAAGATCAAAAATACTAAGCAATTCAGATACAATTTGGATATTCTGATCGGCGTCGATCGGCCTGCCAATCGGAACTTTGCCTAAATTAATAAATCGGCCATCTTTATCACCAAATTCGGCCTAAAACCGGACATCCAATTTCTAGCCGATTTGGACTATTTTGACCAGTGGAAGAACAGGAACCAATGACATCCAGGAAGAACAAAACTAAAAAGGGAGTTCTAATCTATCATTCGTATTTTTCTTTTAACTAAAACTAGCTATTGTATGTAAATATTGTCATATACAAAATAATATAGGTTACATATATAGGTCCATGATTGTTTTACATATAGTAAAAAAAAAAAGAAAAAAGAAAACTAAAATTGAGTAAACTAATAAGGAAAAATATTCCGTTTATTGGTCATGTCCAGGTGTGGGCAGAAGATTAATTCTTCATTTTCTTGCTTTCCTGATGGGTCTTTCATCACCATCTTTGATCAATCGAAGATGATCAGGTTCGGGCGTAGAAGGATATTGTTGTTGAAGAGTAGGAGTAATAGGAGCAAAATGAGCTCTATGGAAATCCATAATGAGTTTATCTGAAAAAAAAGTAACTTGGTTATTATCGTTAGTTTCAATGACCTTGTCCTCATCAACTATTGGAGGTAAGCGTGAACGTAAACTATTTTGATATTTAAGATAACGTCTATTCGCTTTAAGGTAACCATGTTTAAAATCAGGGATACCGGATAAGTCAAAGCGTCGTCGCACTTTATAAGCAAAGAGATTAATGTTGTATGTGTTGAAGTAATAGGATAAAGCGTTCCCAGTAAAATTATCTGGTAGAGTAGGTAAACTTTTCTTTTTCTTGTTACGCATTTTGACACGGCGTTTCCAGTTTTTGATCCTTTTGCGAAGGGCTTTATCATTTTTAATTTCCCAATCGCATTTAATATGATGTGAACATCATTCAACTGCATGTTGAATTTTTTTGTACACATACGAGTGCTCATTAATTAAAAAGGGTTTGACTTGACCGAGGGATCTCTCTGATTTGAAGATTGAAAATTTTAAACGATTCCACCGTTTAATTTGTTGTTGTGTACGGTTAGCATACAGTGCAAAGTTATGATATTCTTTGTAGTACATGCGCGAGGTGTCCACACCTTTCTTCGTTTTTGTAGATGTTGGTTCCATTACATTTTGAAGATAAAAATCATGTTTTCCTCTTCATTCATTATATTTACGTGTAATAACGTCGTATGAGATACCTAATCGTGTTGAATGAACTTCTTTTGCGTGATTATGAGGGATATAACTACGATTATGGACATAAAAACTAGGGTTTTGAGGTAATTTGCCAGTTTGACGACTCTTATCTCCATGTATTATAAAACTCGGGAGATGATTATTACATTTTCGTCGATTGTGTGAAAGTACGACAGCAGCTGGTTGTTGACAACAATGATCATTATTTCCTACAAATCCACAGGCGAAGTAGTATCCCAGGTAAATCACGTGGGGCCCGGAACTAAATCGAATAAAGGTCTTTGTTTGCCTATTTTTATCTGATGCGGAAGTGGTTCTATTTTTAACCGCCAATATTTTATCTATTAATAATTGGCGTAAACGATTAAAATATCTATCTACAATAGCAGGTGAAAATTGTTTGTTTAAGGTGAAAATGAAGGTCAGGTATGTCCCTATAAGGTAATTCAGATTGAGTTTTTTACAATTCGAATTGAAGATCCTATGATGATCAACGGGCATTTGGATATCATTGGTACAGACGTTGAAAAAATTTTTTTTTCTTAGATCTACATATCGGGTATCATCTAACTCGATAAGGAAATATCTCCCTTTTTTGGTGTTATACAAAGTGCCACATCCATGTGTGTCCCTAACCTCGTATGGGTTGATTTTCTTGGTACTGAGCGAAAATTCAAAAGTTGAGGAAAACGAAGGTAATGAAAAAAGTGAAGGAACGTTGGTTATATTGGTTGAGAGTATATTATCCTGTGGTTGTATATCCATATCTAATACTATATTTTCAGCAAGTCCGCCTTTGGAGATTATTATGCCGCTATCGGAATATGTGTCCAACTGTAAATATGGTCTCAGAGACGTGTATGAAACTGAGGAAAAACTATCTCGACTTGGTATGAAGAAGATGATATAACCTTTTAAGTATGAGTAATATTAAAGGAACAAAACCTCGTATACAACTGAGGCGCCCACTTGGGCCTCCTCCCCTTTGGTGTTTCAAATAGAAACTAAAAAAAACGAACTTTGCAAAATTACTGCGGAAAACTAACAAAATAAAAAAAAGGGGAAAGAGTTTTTTTTTTTTTTTTTCGATTTTTTTTTACAGCTATCACGTAAACAATAAACAAATAAACAAAAAATGTAATCACGTGATATCAGTGACGATCATTTGAATTTTGATCTTGATAAAATTAATGTTTATGTAAAGCGAAAAAATCAACTGCACGTGGTACAGTAATTCTATAAAATTAATTTTTTTATTGTTCAACCATTAATTATTGAATATAGTAGAGGAAAAAGTTGTGAGATATTTTGCTGTAACTGTCAGTTATATACCTGTCTCTTATACACATCTAGATGTGTATAAGAGACAGGTTATATACACTACATTCTGGTTAAATATGGTGGATGATCAAAAAAATTCTGGATATTTTATAGACGAATTCCGGACGATCAAAAATATCAAATTCCGGATGATCAAAATTCCTTGGACATTTTCCAGACATATTCTGTACATTCAAAAAATTCCGGACATTTTTTTTTGGGCAAATTCCAGATGATCACAAATTCTGGACATTTTTCTAGACAAATTCCGGACAATCAAACATTCAGAAAATTGGTTTTCGTCCTAAATCCTGCAATATCTGGACAATTTCCGGACATTTTCTGGATGCACCCGGACATTTTTAGATACAATTTCCGGACATTTCTTTTTTATAGGGATAGAATGACCTGAAAGTCTTTATTATATTCCAAAAAACAATCTTTTTTTTTATAAATTTTTTAGACCTATATCAATAAATATCTTTTATATAGATGAAAGGGAGGATAATGAAATAATTTTATGCATCTCATTTTTTTATTAGGGCTGTAAGAGATAGCTGGTATATATTAAATTATAATTCTTTCTTTCTTTCTTTACCTGCCAATCATAACTCGGATTACACCCACTAAACATGTGACACTCAGAAAACGTATCCCCTTGCTATTTTTTTTTTTCTTAAATAAAATCAAAAAAAATAATCAAAAAAATTTTTTTCTCTTCAAAATTTTCAAAAAAAAAGAATATTTTAATTAATGTAAGAATTTTCTTCAAGTTTAAGAGGTTTTAAAATTGATTAAATAAAAATACAAACAAACCTTAAAAAAATTTTCTTAAAAAATTATTTCTTAAAATAGCAGTTTATCATGAGTTCATGACAAATTCAGATATAATAATTACTTTATATGATAGCTTGATTAGATTGATCAGATGTAATTATTAAAATATTTGATATTTGATGAAATCAAATATCATTTTTTTTTTATAAAAAAACTTATCAGTATAATTTTTTAAAAGAAATTTTTTTAAAAAATTATTTCTTCATGTTTTTATTTTTTTTTTGTAGGATACCGGACTTCTTTTTTATAGATTTGTTGATCTCTCGGAGACTTGCTAAAATCAACTAAAACAGATAAATGGAATGAATTGGGTGTGTGTATTAATTAAAGAACGTTTCTAATGTTCTTTTATAGGGATGCTGAGCTTCCTGGAATGAACTTGCACATTAAGACGAAGGAGTATTAATGACGTTTTTTAATTAAGAAATGTTTCTAACATTTCCTTTTACTTTTAAGTAGAGGTGCCGGACTTCTGGACAACAAAACTTAACGGTAAGTGTTGTTGAATAGTCAGATATGTTGGTAATGTACTGAGTAGAAGATTATTCGCTAGTTATTTATTTAAGAATTAAGATGAATTCCTCGATTATATCCCAAATAGGTTAATTACTCTAATCTAATGCCAAGTTGGATCTAGGACACCGGACAAAAGTGGTTAGCATTAAAATTTTTTGTTAATTTGGTTAGTTAATCATATTGAGGAATATTATTTTTGTACCAAATTTCGTTTATTAAATTTATCATACTTTCAACGATAGTGATGGATTTAGTGAGAAAAAAAAATTTCTATTTTGAGAAATTTTTAAAAAGCCCCAAGATATTTATAAACGTAAGCTAAAATTAGTTTGCATCACTCATTTATACATTTATGGTAATTTGAGCAACCAAAGTTTGCGAACCAAATTTTTTTTTTCTTACCCCTTCTTTTTAAAAAAAATTATGTAACAGAAAAAGCTATATAAGCTAAGAGGGCTGGATCGACGCTTATACTCATAGATTTTGGATTCGTTGTTCATATTCCTATATAATAAATTCGCAGGCAAGAGATTTCTAATCAAAAAAGAGTGTACTTTGCAAAAATTTTGATCGTTTAGCCATGAGTTTATGAATTATGAGTCACTTTTAACATTTGTTAGTTGCAGAGTGAAATTACCTTAGTTGAATTTTAGAATTTTTAAATACTCTTTATTTGAATCTCAGAAAAAAAAACAATAAAAGATAATCATTATTTAAATGTCATTAAAATTTTTTTTCAATTAAAATTTATTGAGTCTATAAAATATAACCGGTTATCGTTATTTGTAACAATGATAATGTAAGTTTTGCGATTTTTTCTTCTCATCAAAAAAAAAAAAAAAATTTTTTAAAACAAAAACAGAATAATTAAAATGTAAGATACTTGACCTTACGGTGTTTCAATGATTCATAACAGATATTTCACAAGAAAGAAAAAAAAAAAGAACGTTAATAATAATTTAAGACAAAAAATAAAGACGCCAAAATAATAAAAAACTGAAATCACCTTTCTACTTGTGATTTCAAAGTCTATACTAAAGTCCAGAGTGTTCCTAGAAAAAAAAGAAAGATAAAAAACGTTAGCAACATTTTAAGACAAAAAGAAGACGCGAAAATAATCAAGAAAACTGGGCAACTCACCTTCTTACTTGCAATTTCAAAGTCCATAGTGAAGTCCTAAAAAAAGTGAGCGTTAGTAACCTCAAATAAAAAAAAAATGAGAAAATAATTAAATCTCACTTGCGATTTCCGTTCCTTAAAGAGAAAGTGCCGCGGAAAATTACTGGCAATAATAGTGATACTGATTATCGGTGTTACAGAAAAGTGATGCATAATCAAAAAAGGAAAGGAAGGACCGCAGTAGTAATTACGCCAGCGGATGGAAGGAAGGAAAATTTCATAGGTTAACAAGTGCTCTATGATAGAAAGTCCTTCGCTACGCTTCATAACTGCGGCACTGTCGTGCCTTACATGTATTTGCAATAAGAATATGATCAGTAAAATTTACTGAGCTGCGCTCAGTAAATCCCACCAATTATATTGCTTATTGCAAATACAACAGTTACTCGGCACGAAGTGCCGAGTAACAATCGCAAGTCTTGAATTTATTAGTAATAGAGTTAAATTTTCGCAAAGACAATGTGGTGATAGAGACACAATTGAACGCTCATACAGAATCAAAAATTTACTTAAAGAATTGCCCACATATAACACTTTATTTAAAAGAAACACGAACAAAATTGATACAGATAAATGTATAAGATGTGGGAAAATCTTCACGGAAGATTGGGAACACATATGGATATGTGAAGATAACGATATATCAATTGATGAAATCATACGAGAATCACCATATAATTTCGAAAAAGTTTTGGATAACTCTAACCAAACCGAAGAACTAGATATCTTAAGAAACTACAATTGTGAATTTATTAATATAATAGAAAGTCCTTCAAATATTTTGTTGGGGAAAAGCAGAAAATGGGAATTATTAAGAGGGATTTATAATAATAAATTCAATGATTTATCTAAAGAGAAAAAAGTTAAAGATCTAATCAAAAAGCTTTGGATGTTCACGTATGACGAGATTAAGAAACGAATATGGATACCACGATGCGAAGAAATTAAAAGATTAGAAGAAAGAGAACAAATTAAAAAAATAGATCTTAGAAGGAGAAGAGCCGCAAACGATGATATAGTAGAAGATGAAATCGACAAGGATATATTACCAGGAAAAATGAAAAAACAAAAAACAAAAGAAAATTTAGTTAAAAAAGAAAAAAATACAAATATAAATAGACAAATTAGCTTAGTAACGTTAGACAAATTGAAAGGATTAATCACAGAAGGTATTAATATAGCTAAATCTTGGAATTCAACAATTAAATTAACGAACGCTCTAGTTTAGATTTAGTTTAGCGATATTTAGATATAGCGTGAAATTTTTATTACGATTTTTACGATAGATTTAGGTGATTTAGTTATAGTTCGATAAATACTTAGTTATAGGGCTGTCTCTTATACACATCTAGATGTGTATAAGAGACAGGTTGTATATTCTCGGAATATTCAAGGTTTTTAAATGTTTATTTCTTACGGAAAAATATTTGAAAACTTTCAACATACAGTTATTTAATAAATTAATATGATTACTAATTCAAATAAAGTAAATAAAGTCAATACTAATATTTATATTAATCAAATTCTTTAAATTTAGTCAATTATGTATGCATTGGCGATCAAAATCATACTGCGTAAAATCATACAAAGATTACAAACCATACAGTGCATGCATAAAAGCCATACCATACATAATTGATACATACCCAATAATAACTACCGTACATATTTTTGTAGTCCGTTGATTGTATTTATTTTGAACGTAAATAATAATAATAATAATTTATTATTGTTTGTAAACATTTGAAAAATTCATTAATATACTTATTTATTTTTTTACATGAAATGTGTCATTGTGAACAGTATAATTTATAAGTTGCATTGTCATAATGGAGAGTTTTGGCACATAGTGGAGGTCTCCGAGAAGCGAGAAGTTGAAAGAAAAAAAAAAAAGAATAAATAGGAACACTTCCGATAATATAGCTCATATTATACGCAGGATAGTCTAAATATTACGAAATATTACCAAATTTATTTTAATCGTACTCATGATTTCAGTCCCAGTAACAGTTATACCAAGTATCACAAATTCCAAATTCCATTCATTAAATTCATTAACAAATTCTCAAAATCAAAACTAATTTAGAATTTCAAATGGCTCACTTTGATGATGATCATTTTTAGCCAAAATGATCGACATTCCGAATTTCCGGTCATTAAGTGAGTCATATGAGTAATCATTTTTGCTGAATTCGGATTTTTGTGTTACTGCGGATAATAAAGATTAAGATTTTTATTTTTAAATAAATTGCTAACTAATTCGTTCTAAATACTTTTTATAACTCACTCAAAACAAAAAATAACACTCTCTTAGACATATTAATTAAAAGATTTTTTTAATAAAAAGATGGGTGACTATAAAAACATAAATTATACAAATAATGATATCACTGAAAAGAAGGAAGTCTATCAGATTGAAATTTCTCAAAATGGAAAATTTGCTGCTACATTTGATACGGGTAAAAAATTAATTTGTCATTAAAAATAATTTATGTATTTTTGAACATGCGTATGCATATTAATAATTTTTTTTTTCTTTTCCTAAAAAAAAAAAATAATAATAATAAATAGCAAATCTTCGGATCAAAATATTGCAGAACACTGATTATCGTCCATCTCAATTCAATAAGAAAAAGGTTAATTCTAACAATAAGAATGAATTTGAAACAATCGCTCATTTCAAAATAAAAGATGATTTTACTATTGAAAAGTTTTACAAAACAGACTCAAAAGATAACGATCATACTGAAAAAAATGAAACAAAAGCATCTGAATTATATAAAAAAGTAGAAGCAGCTTCTTCAGACAGTAACGAAACAACAGCAAATAACGAGAAAAAAGGTGATGATCAATTTAGATGGTCTTTTGATATATCGAATATGCACAAGAATGATGACAAGTACATTGTTCTCGTCGCCATATCTCACACAAAAGTTGATGAGGATATGAAAGAGACAAAGAAGGAAAAAGATGATAAAAAATCTGATTATACAAGAGGATATCTTTGTAAAAAAAAATTTAAACCAATTGACGAACGTATATTACAAAGTAAAAATACAACAATTATTATATCACAAGGATCTATAAGTGCCATACCACTCAATGAAAGTAATAAAGGAACCGCTATTTATCGTATTGAACTAAAAAAGGAGGATGGAAATGTGGAGGAGGAAAATTACATTCTTAGTGCTGTGACTTGTTATTATTCTAGTAACATTTCAGGAATATGTAATTTTGTGGAGGTTTTGAATAAAGATAATTCAAAACAACAATTATACGATTCTGAACTAAAAAGATTTATGATATTGAATTTTCATGGGATATATAATTTTGAATTTAACGATCATTTTGATTTTTTTAATTTGAATGAAAAATTTGAATATCCGCAAAATATTAGACATGAATTAGATAATTGGTATACATTTAAGCGATATAATGACTGCATGAGGAGATTTCTTTCGTGTATTTGCGATAAATATTTTTTGATTGCACGATATAAAAATGGCGCGCAATCGCTTGAAGGTAAGAAATTTAAAATTGTTATTTATCTCAAATATAAATCATAATTTATTGATTTTGTAATATCATCTATTTCTTTTCAGTTTATAATCTGGAAAAAATGGAACATGTAACTGATGCAAAACTAATTGAAAATACCGTGGATCGATATAATAATTATATATTTTCGGTTAGTATGTTACAATTTTGTTTTGCTCAAATTAATATTATCAAGTAAGTTAACGTTATCATGTAATTTATGAATGATTTGAATAGCGCAGTAAATTTAATGTCACATTTCGATTAATTTATTAGATTATTTTATATTGAAAATGGATTACAAATCGCATCAAAAAAATTTAATGAAATAGAAAGAATACATCTATTAGAATTTATTGATAGTGATGAAAAACTGTTTATTATAGGTGAAGATTCGAAAAAAAAGATTAAAGTTATAATTTGGGATTTATATAATACCGGCAAATATGAATTAATGGAGTTAATGGAGTTAGACGATTTTTCAATTAATATAGATGATATTTACACTCATTTAGCCATAACTTCGGGAAATATTTTATATGTCGATGATAAAGGAAAAGTTTCATCGGTCCTTAAAAAAGTTGAAAATAAAATAAAGGATAAAGAAGATAAAAAGAATATCGATAAATTGGCAACTCGTACTACAGATAAAGTTGAAAATAAAATAAAGCATAAAGAAGATAAAAAGAATAACGATAATAACAAAACACTTGAATTTACAAATTTGGTTTATAGAGAAACATGTGTGTTTAGTGGTTGCGGAAATGAATATGAATGCCTATACTATAAAAAAAATGGAACTGAAGAAGAAATTTTAGGACTTATTGTTGGTAGATACACTGTTCAAATTTGGCATCAAATCAGAGATGATAGTAAAAACAAAGATGATCTTCCTAACAATGGAGAACCATTTCTTGAATATATATGGTCAAATCGTATTCCAGTAAACCAAGAAAGGGAAAGAACAAAACTACGAATTGAAAATTTTAAATGTGAAATGAATGACGGACCACATGATGAACTAAATTTTCGTTTAAAGATTTTTTGGTTTGAGAGAAATGATAGTTCAAAACCGGAAGAATATACAAAAATGACAGAGCACGAAATAATAAAGGAAGAAGACGATGAAATAAATTTTATAGAAAATAAATTAAACCAGATTAATGAATATAATGACCTAGAAGAGAAAGAGAGAAAAAGACAAGAAATAATAGTAAAGAATTGTGTAAAGGTAAAAATACGAGAAAAAGTAATTCAACGAAAAGATATTATTAAAAAATCTCATGCAGTAAGACACGCTTGCAAAGCATTAGAACATCTAAAAAAGCTACATAAGAGTAAAAATATTACAGATAATTATATAGTAAGTTAATATAGAAGAGCTTAATTATATTTTGTTTATTTTTACAATTAATACTTACTAATACATACTACTTCGTGATTAAACAGTATGAGGAGATGGTTAATTATATTGAACATATAATTTGGAGATTTGCTAAATATGAACCAGAAAATTTTAGATTACTAGATGTTCGATATAATCTTATGAAAAGATTAATACTTTGTGACTGCGATCGTTTAATAAAATTTATATTATTTGGAGATGAAGAAACCGCCGAAAATAAAATTGATTATAGACATGTACCAAGCAATAAATCATGGCCAGGAAAAGTGTTTTTAAAAGATGATGATCTTGACTTCGACAAAAGAAAAGATGGGCTAAAAGAAAATAAAAGAATCAAGCTAGAAAATAATATGGAACTAGCAATTTATCATTTTAGAGGTAAGCCTATCTTTATGTCACACCACTATTACACAATCAATTAACTTTATTTAATTTATAGGCCGTGAACTTAAAGATGCAATTATTGTTGCATATCTTTTGGAATATTATTCTAGAAATCCAACAAATTGTGTGGATTGGATGTGTACTGTTTCTAAGGCAATTCCTTTATTATTTGAATATAATTATGGTTCGTTTTTTATTGATTTCAATTTATTTTTCATTCAAAATGAGTTTATGGAATTTAACCTTAGCTTTTTCATAAAACATTAGACGATTTTGCCAAAAAGTTATTTGTTAGATGTTTTGCAGATCAGTGTGACTTTTCAAGCCAAGATCCTGATGAAATTATTCCAAAAGAATACCTAGAAAGTCACAATAGTGATAACAAATTTAGAGCATTCAGAACTATGGTTAAACTTCTGAAGTCTGATAAGTGTGATAAATATAAGTGGTACAATGATTGGATTCGTGCTAAATTGATATCTTTTAAAACCAAAATATTTAAAAATTATGGAAGCTTCGAAAAGTCACCATTAGCTTTACGTGTAGTTCCATTTCCCGGCTTTACTATAAACAGCATTAAAAAGCAAAAAAGAGAGTATAACTTTTTTGAATTCATTTCAAATATTATTTTATTTTTATTTATACCACGATGGCACCGAGTCAATCGAGATGAAAGTAATAAGTTAAGCCCTTTTTCTAGAATGATAATGAACGAGAATAATGATGATATTTATGACAATCCAGCAATTGAAGCAGTCATCAATTTTCGTTGGCAACAAACGAAAATTGTCATGTACTCATTCTGCCTTCGTTTTCTTATTTTTGCCATTTGTTTTATGTTAATTAGTTTGGCATATTTGAAACATGGAAATATTATAAATGGAAATATTTCGTTCACTTTAATTTTTATATTCTATTATTTGGCATTTTATCAACTTTGTACCGAAGTATCACGGTGTCTTTATCGTGGATTTAAAAAATTTTTTGGCGACTTACTTAACATTTTTGATATAATTTATATAATACTTTCTGTATCGGTAATGTCAATAATGCTTAAAAATTTTCAACTTTCTAACGGTTTTGAAAATGTTGAAGAAACTGATTCTAGATTAGTTGTGGGGATATCATTCTCAGTCTTTCTAATCTGGGTTAAATTTGTAAGTCTTTTTATAAATGATTATTCCCTCTTTTTTTTTAATAAGTTAATTTAACAATTTTAATCATTTTAGATTTTATATCTTCGTTTAAAATCAGGTAAAAAATACATTTTATTTAATAAATATTATTATTTTATAACGCATTATTATTAATTAATATATTTTTTTCCATTATACATCAGATATTGGAATTTATATTTATTATGTAGTAATTATTTTCGAAGCAATAATTCCATTCCTTTGGTTTATGTTAGCTGTAATAATTGCATTTGCACACACAATGTATTAATTTTTTTTTATTTTCTAAGTTATTGATTTCATTTTCAAATTTCAATACAATTAATTTTTCTTAATTTTATAATATATATAGGTTTATTCTACTTAGAGATCCTAAAAACATGAAAATTAAAGATTCTACATATAGTGGAAATGTTACTAATTCATCAACGAATGAGACACTTAATATTAAACTTAAGCCTGATTTTGATCCAGCATCTAGTGATAATCCATTTTCGTCTTTTATTACGGCAGTAGAAGCTGCATATTTTTGGATTAATGGCAATTGGGTTCAAAAAGATAAATTTGATTTTTGGGCAGTTGATTTATTAACTTTGTTTGCTAGTATATTCCTCGTAATTATCTTACAAAATATCTTGATTGCTTTTATGAAGTAAGTATTTTTTGCAAATTTTGTAATATAACTTTCAATATTCTCTTTTATTTATTTTTTTTTTCTTTATTTAGTGGTGTATATTTAACAGCAGGAGCTAAAGGTAAACAAAGATTATTAAGATATCGAGCAAGTTGCATAGTTTGTTTTGAAGGATTATATCATATTCGTTTTTGGAATCCTGAGCCTGAACCAAAATACATTCATTATTTTAGTCAAGCCAAAATTTTTGGAGAATGGTATAATACAAGAAAAGATTATGACAAGAATCCTATTTATAAGGGTTTTGAAGGAATGTCTAAATTTAAAAGACGTGTTTACAAGGAAATGGATTATGATAAATTTTCAATTCTGAAATATTGGAATAATAATAAAAATACTAAAATTATAGAAGATTTTAAAAATGTAAGTAATGGCTTTAATGATAGTATTGAAAATTTAATTAAAAGAAATGAAGGCAAAAGTTCAATTGATGAATTCGAAGAAATTTATGAAGTCAAAAATACGTTAGAAGTTGAAGTTAAAAAATTTCAACTTAAATTAGAGAAATTGAGAAATTTAAAATTGTATGAAAGTTGAGATTAAAAAATTAGAGAAATTACCTTTTTAAATTGTAGTTTATTTTATTTTACTTTATATACTGCATATACATATATATATTATATATACTGTTTTTCTTTTGTATTTTTCAATATATTCAGAACGTGATACAAAATCAGCTGATCTTAAATTTCATAGTTTTTTTTGATGTTACGACTGTTACGTTATATTTTAAAAAGGAGCCCTAATTTGTTTAGCAACATGTTAGCCAAACAAGTGCCATTTTTTAATAAATAATATATAATATAATAAATTTCAATTTCAATTCAATTGAACAAACAGAAGTTGTTTAAAAAAATTTTTTTTTTTTTTTTTTTT